CTTGGCCGATAATGATTTTTCAAGCATTTAGCCTGGACGGTTGACGTCATTCGTCTTGTATGTTGTTTTCTGTGCAAATTGTAGAGTCGAGAGACGTTGTCTTCCACAGGTCGGTGCAAAGCTGCTGTGAGTGTAAATGTTTCAGTTCCAGGTTTCAGACGTTAACACTCTCGTCAGGCCTGATCCGACATGGCAGCTAAGTTCTAACAACACAGAGACCCAATTAAAAGAGGAAATAAATGAGATAAAAAGAGTAAAAATAGTGAATAATGCTAGTAAAGAAGATTGAAATGTTTAAAATGATCAAATACAAATGAAATACAATGATGGTAAGACCTTAGTTTTCAGTCTGGTTTTAGAAAGGGCTTGTGCAGGTCTATGAAACTTTTATTGAAGAGCTGCCACCGTGGCCTGGATGTTATGGCACCGTGTTAAAAGTTACACTGACCTTTTCAACAGCCTCTCTGAGGTCGAATCCAGCTGAAAATTAATTCCTCATATCTTTGGAGAACAGAGCTGCAGATCAGGCGACAAGCCAGCAGAGATCCTGTGACTCTAATCGACTCAGCATGAAACCAAACGTATCCATATATCCACTTTAACTCGGGTTTGTTTCCCTCAGCCATACACATTCATGATCATGTTTTCTCAGAACTAATCTGCAACACATTGATTCGGGGAAAAGGATGCAGCCTTCATCTTTATGTGCTGCTAGGTTGAACCAGTCCTCCATGTCCATGCATGCATCAGGGGCTGACGCAGGAGACGGGTCATAACAACGTCCTGGATCGTGTCAGCCCGGCCGTGCACTCCCACATCCCATAATGCCTTCTGCTCCTTGGTGCATTTCCAGTTAAAGGCTTCCTGGTTTCTGGAAACCTCTGGAAGCCTGTCAATACAATTGATGCATCACTAATCAAGGCCTCTGTTTACTGTTTTCAACTTTGTTCTTGTGACACGGCTCTTTGTTTTTTTGTTTTTTTTATATATTACGTGGACACTTTGCACAAACAGACCTGTATAATATCAGCTTATAGAAGTGCTTTCTATTCTGTTAAAACCATTTTATTATTATTGTCATGCAATGAAGAGTTATTTACTATAGTCATCATACTTGTGTTGACAGGAGAATCGAGAATAGTATAGAAGTACAGGCCCTGAAATGTAAAAAGCCATCAGAAAAATAAATACTCAAGTCAAGTACAGATATGGGGAAAAAGTATGTTTATTAGTATATGCAGTATTCACTTATGTACTTGGACTTCAATCTGGATTAAACTTGAATTGATTTTTCGGACTTTTTTAAGCAGCCCATTTTGAACCTGCACTTTATGTACCAAGGGTTGCATTGAATTGCAAACCATCTAATTTGATGAGACCACTCTGCCTCTGAGTGTCATTTTCCAGACGCACACGCAGAGCGCCTGAATGCACCACCAGGGAATGGCATGTAATACGTGCGGACATCAATGCAGGAATACAGACGCCTGTTTACCCCCCCTGTCCTGCTCCATTATCCCAGGGTTGCATCTGTGACCCGTGGCGGAGATTTGACTTATGAGTGCATCAAAGTAAAATTTTGAGGAGATTGATGCCGTTTCTTTTCTTTAATGTTGAGCAGCCAACAAACGCTCCTTCAATATGTGGACCACACAGTCCTTCCGAAATACTGAACTTGAGAGTCGTCAGTATCATGAATCTAATATTTCTGCACACTCAGTACATTACAGTGCTAAAAAAAACCCAGGCTGTAATGAAAAGGAAGAAACAGGCCTGAAAATAGCACAGGTAGTGTGAGCGCTGCTTCCTGTTGTACTGACACCATGATTTGTGTGAGTGGTAATGATCTGTGTCATTCAGCTTCTAACTGGGATCTCGCGGCAGCTTGACTCATACGCTTTTTATAGCCGTCTTTGTCATTCCACTTTATAGCCACTTTCTGTGTGTGTGTGTGTGTGTGTGTGTGTGTGTGTGTG